TCCCCCTCCCATTTTTTTCTTTCGCGCTCGCGTTTTCTTTTTTTCCTCTCTCTTTCTCTCTCTCTCTCTCTCTCTCTCTCGAAGAAAGAGAGAGAGAGAGAGAGAGAGAAGTAAAAAGGTGAGAAAACAAGGTACGGCTTGAAAACTTTGCGCACCTAATATTCTCGAGATAAGGTAACGACGTCACCGACGTCGATATCAGCGTAAATGACCGCGGCGCGCAAACCGTCACATACTGCACAGACCGGTGCGCCGCGTGCCCCCCGGGTGTGTGTAACACGTATACCGTACACGGCGTACTTTTCCGACACGCGCCCGTAGAAAATACCGCAGCGGCGGGTTCGGGCGCGCACTTTCACTTCGCCCGGACGTCGGCTTCAATCGGAGTCACGCGAGATTCGTGCATTTGATTTCGTTGTACGATTACCTAACCCCCCCTCCCCCCACCCCTCCTCCGTTAGGCGCCTCGGTGTCTTCCACGACGATCGATTGACGTGTATATCCATGGAAAACGCACGCTTCCTCACGAGCGGGGAGAAAGGGTGCGGGTCAAAGGGCGACGGTCTCTCCTGATGGTTTAAAAACGTCCGGTATAGACATGGGTGTTTCCCCGATTAACGGCGCTTCTCTTTAAACGATGTACGTCGTATATATGTATATACGTGTTTGGGACTGGAAATAGTTAACTAGTCTGGAAATAATTAACTAGTCGGCTGTTAAAATCCGCTGGAGAACAGCCTTTGTATTTCGGTCGACGTGCAGGGAGATCGGATTCGCCAACTCGAGTTTTTCTTCCTCCTCCACGTATACGGATCGTCGTGTACGATCGGAGACACCCTGTATACCGTGCGTGTCTCCGCGCCGCCGCGGGCTTTGTGCGGCTTTGTGTGTGACCCTGGGGTGCGTTGCATGTCGCCGTCCGGTCCGGTCCGCCCGTTCAATTGCCTCTTGCCAAGAATGGAGAAAATTATTCCCTTCAATTCGACGCAATTTAGAGGAATTAAGCGATCGCGAGCCGCGAGAGCCGCACTTCTTCGGCTCCGTAACTCCGGAACCTTCTCCTTGTCCTTGGTATCCGCGTCCTCCCTCCCTCCCTCCCTCCCTCCCCCCCTCCTTCCCTTTTCCCTCCTTTTTTGAGGGGACCTCTCAATAAGAGCGAATCGTCGAATCATGGTTACTCTGGTTCCCACGAGATCCTCAGGTAAAAATCGCGCCGGCTGCGCCGAGACAACACAGAGGGCCCGCATTACTCCGCGGGCAAACATTTTCAGTTCAGTTCCGTTGTAAAACTATATAGCCTGGTTTATCGCGCTTCGATATTATATTTGACCGGCTTCCTGTGTACACGGCCGAATATATCTCCGAGAGCTATTATCGTGAAATTAAATTAGCAAATTCCAAATCGATTAATGGCCGCGCTCATATTGTTCGCCCCATCGTTACACGTAATCGATCGCTTTTCTTAATTATCGCCCGTCGCTACATTATACGCTAATTATCCGCGCGGCGGATATTATTAGCGCGCGCTATAGTTGGGCTATACTGCGAAAGGAGGTAATGACGGTATACGCAGAAATTTCTGACGGCGGCCGGAACGGACCGTTTTTCTCCCGGCGCGCGATCTCGTAGCCTCGTTGCAGCTGATCCGGGCTCCGGCGCGGCCGGAAGGAGCGGAAACGACCCTAAGTACGACAAATTGTGAAAGTAATGGACGGTAATACTGTGTCTTACAAGGTGAATGAAAGCCGTCCCTCGCGCCTCGCGTTGGCGTGCGATCGGCTCTAAATCACGCGCGTTATCTACAGTTAACTGCGACGACAGCGCGACGCGTCGCGACCAGAATTTCATTACGCCACATCAGGCTCCGCAACTGTCGCCGTCGCCGTCGCCGTCGCCGTCACCGCTGCCGCTGACGCCGCCGCCGCCGCCGCAGCCGCTGTTGTTTTATCTTTGTGGGACGGAATTTGTTTTCGTCCGCAGTTGCGTCCGCGCTTTATTACGTTTAACTGTCGCATTTGCGCTCAACGAGTTTGTATTAGCGACTGATAGAACGATGGGTGGTCGCGACGAATGGTTCAAAAGCTCGCCTCATCGATCGCTCGACAAGCTTATTATGTATGGCGCGAAATATCGCTGTGCACCAGCATGAAAATTTCACGTAGAAGCTCTATTTAAAATTGTCGATGTATACGTAACAGAAGCTGTCACATATTTCATATACGTACACATGTATACATACATATATATATATTTCATATATAATATAAAGCTTTATATAATTTTTTTGATTCTGGCCCCCATCATTATTTTTCCTGAAATTTCCAAGTTCCACCGGAAGGATTATGTACACGCGATCTGCATACTACAATTATACGTTGGACTGCGCGGACTACTGAAACCATATGTTGAAACGCGACGAGCCGAGGAAGGAGTTCCGCGTAGCTTTATCGCTCAGCGTTTTACTGCAGAGGCTCGGTACATTAATCGCGACGACGCGACACCCTCGTTCTCGGGTGCGCGCCCGGGGGCACCTCCTCACGACCTCGGATAGTTTTTACGACCATTTAAAATTGTTAATTTTAGAAACGGCAAATTTTTCCGCCACGCCCCGCGATCGCGCGTTATACATTGCATACTCCGCGGTAGACAAGTCCGCGAGTACTCCGCGCACGTCGGCGGACGGGATTTAATAGAATCGGCTTAATCCAATGCGGGACGTTCGCGGATTGGCGTTCGCGGACGCCCGTACCTGTCAATAAGCCGCGGAATAGAATCATTGTGCTGTACTTCGACTCGTTTCGCTTCGATTCGTCCTTCGGACGTGGGGAGCGCGGAACACGGCGGGCGTCCACACGCGCGTTATCCGACGCAGCCCCGGCAAATGATGCGTAAGTCGCGCGTGTTCCCACGTATTATTATTACGTTCCCTCCCCGTCCCTCCCGTCCCTCCCCACGTCCCGTCCGTCACGTTATTGGACACGCGGATAAATGCGCGCTTTTCGATCGCAGCCGCGATTTATTGCGTACCGATACATTAGGTATAATCCCCGTGTAAACTTGTTACTCGCGTCTGCGACTTATATACGCGAGCGTTTGCACGCATTTTGACGTTTCGTTCGGTCGCCGGTTTGCCGTTGCGTTTCGGATCTCCGTCACACGTCGCGGCGAGTCACGGTGATTTTAATCGCGCATCGTCGGCGAGAGTGAAATTCACGAAAAGGGACAATGCGCGGTCACACACGGTGCGTCCAGTCTTCGCGAATCATGAATCATGACGGAATTCTGTTCCCTCAATGTGGTGTATCGTTCACGACCGCAAACTTCCTTCGTTATATATGTTATCGGTAAAACGCGCGCTATCGTATACAGGCAGTACAGGCACCAGCTGCAATGCAATGGTTCTATATAGTACAGTAAATCCAGGGAGGCAGAAACTATACCTCTTCGCACGCCGCGTATGATTCATTCTCCTCGTCCGTCAACAGAAATATCGGCCGGCTTGCCTTCTGCTTTCTTTTTCTTATTTTATTTTGATGCATGCAGCGTGACAACGCGTATACCTACACGCGCGTATACACACGTTCACGTGCGGCGGAGAGAGGAAGGAGCGTTTAACGAGATAGAAAAAACCGATATGTGTACGCGATAAGCATCCGCGTGGGCAGTTTTCTGATACGTTCGTCAACCTTGGACGAGATTTCACCGAGTACACGGTGATTCATCACGCGGTGTGCTCCAGGAAATTACGTGTATCGGCGTAAATTGATAACAATTTACAACATATCTCTCGCGAGAGGCGCCGTGTACAATTCATCGGTGCAACTCATTGAAAACGAAGTACTTTCACTCTCAAGCTGATCACGTTGCGACAGCCGCGACTTTACTCGCAATGAATAAATAAAACGACCGAACGGAATAAATGTGTGTATTATAATATATATATATATATATATATATATTATAATGTAAAATGGTCCCTCTGTTATGTTTTTCAAATTAGATTAGATTTTTCCCCCATTTTATCTCATCGTTTTTCTAAACGCTCGACAATTCTCCTTGTTACCGTTTTGCCAGGCAATTTAGATCTTCTGGTCTTGCACCGCAATCGTGTGCAAGACCGCGAGATGATACGTCGACACGCAAATGGCCGTTTATCCGACGATTTCAGCGAAATCCGTCGGCGATTCCCGCCGAAATACCGTCGAACTTTTTGTCGGTGCAGGGCGCCGATGGTAAATATTTCCCGATGCCGATGAGTAACGTCGCCGCGACGACCGTCGCGGTCGCGTTGCGTGCGACGCCAGGCTTCGGTCTAGGCGTCGCGGCGCCTTCGTACCCTCCCTGTCAGTCGGAGGCCGTTAGCCACCGGCGTATAGGTAACTATATGTACGTTTTACGTGAGGAGCCGCGTATACGAAGGATTCCTCGTCGTTGTTATATGCGGTTTCTATTTCAGCCCTCTTCAATGCTTCAAGCGCAAATACGCGCGCGTACGGTATTCCTACGCGATATAAACGCATAGGATTTTACGATCTAACCCACTCTCGGGACTGCTCTCGTTCCCGCTGAAAATGAGAGCACGCACGTTCGTCCCACGGGACTGAAATCGGAACGAAATCCTAGACTGTACGAGATAGCGACGTCGAGATAATAATTTTCAAAGAATAGCATCGATCGTCGCGTCACGTTAATGGTAGCAAATCACAGATGCTGAGATATAGAACAAATTAAAATTGTTAGTTAAAATCTTCTCTCAAAATTTTCTGGAGTAAATTTTCACTCTTTTGGAGTGAATCTTGAGTGGCGCTAGTTTCACTCTTTTGGAGTGAGATTCGACCCAGAAAATTTAGAGAGTTCGATGATTTATCCTGGATATTCATGATTCGTGAAGTAAGATTTTTTTAATTGCATCTAAACTATATATATATATATATATATATATATATATATATATTAGTCGCAATATTTAAATTTAACAAAATTTCGTCTGTTTCTTCCAGCGGATTAAACTTCCAGGATTTGATGGCCAGGCAGGGCGCGATCGACTCGCCCCCGAAGACCCCGTTCATCATGGGCTCGGAGTGCGCGGGTGACATTGAGCAAGTCGGCGAGGGGGTCGAGAATTTCAAAGTGAGTACAACCACGAAACTTTTAATGAATCTGATTACGAGTGCGCAAACTTAAATTGTAAACAAGTTTGCTTCTTTAAGTTCTATGTGTATAGTTCGGAATTTCATTACAAGGTAAAAATAAAACGCGAGGGCTGTGTATCGCTCACTTCCTCTATTCTCCGCGGGCCTCGACGAAGATTAATGGCCGCGTCGTAAATAGCGAACCGAATGTTATTGGTAATATCGAAATGCGCGCGAGCGGAAATAGAGATTTGCTTGCGTTCGGAAACTCTGCCTGCAGACGGAAGTACGTGTATAACTGAATTACAAGGCTCTTCCCTTTATATCATATAGCGAAGTAAAATCACATCCGTGGATTCAGTCGGGGACTGGAGGCTCGAGGCCGTAATGTCTAGCTATAAGTAACGCGCTAATTCGATTCGCAGTCGCACAACGCAGCCTTTTGCGTATTCAAAATAGTAGTCCTGTATCGATTTTCAGCATTGACGTCACGTTTCGATTCAACGTTGAAATTATTTTGAAAGCTCTCGAAATTCCATTCCCTCGGTCGGGCCGCGGACGCCGTAAATATAAAACGAGAGGCTACTTTCCCCTCGCGGTCGTCCGACTTATTAAACGTCATTACGTCAGGGGAAAAAAAAGAACGCACAAGTATCGCCATATCCCCGACGTGATAAAGCGCCAGGAGGCTATACTAATGGTCGCTTCGTAAATAACGTCGAATATCACCCAAGGTGGCATACTTTCGTTATCGTTATTTAACGTTATTCGCGCGTTACGGGGAGAATCCAGCTGGTTTCGAGCCCGTCGAAATTTCTTCGCGGCGCGTTTTTTTCACCGGCTGGCGCCGCCGCCGTTTGGAGAAACTTGCGCGCTCAGGGTGGTCTATTTTCGCGACTCGCGAAAGTCTTTTCGGGGTCAGAAGGCGAGCGAGCTTCTCGGAGAGCGCGTAGCGAGTCAGATATCCGGTCGACGTCGTGTAGAACTGGGCCTGCCTTGCCTCGTTAGACAGAGAGAAAAATAGAGGGCGGGGAAAAGAGGGGCGCGTTCCTTTCGAGGGCGTATATACGGGTCGGAAGTAATGTCAGCCCGCTCCTGCCTCGCCCTGCCTATCAAGATGCTTTACAGCGGAAGGCCTAATTCGATAAGACGAGGAGACTCGCCCCCGTCGTTTAAAAGGGCGCAAAGTGTAAAATCGTTGAACTTTTCTTATCCGGTGAATATGCGAGGAGCGACATTTTACACGCGACGTAATCCTGAAAATATCGTATATCTCTTGGAAATATGGATATTGACGAGTCGATCTTTAAGAAACTTTATTCTTACTCTTTCTCGATCTTCGGGATGCGAATACCTCAGGTATTACAAGGCTGCGATATGACGAATGCTCTACATTTTGACACGCATGTGACGGTTTTTTCTTTTTTTTTTTTTTCTTTTCTAACAGGTGGGCGATAGGGTGGTCGCGCTTCCCGATCACAAAGCGTGGGCGGAGCTGGTCGCCGTGCCGGCGACATCCGTTTTCGCGCTACCGCCCGGGATGAGCTACCTCGACGCGGCCGCCATCACCATGAATTACACCGTAGCTTACATTCTGCTCTTCGAGCTGGCCCATCTCACGCCCGGCAAGAGCCTACTGCTTCACAGCGCCGGCGGCGGTGTGGTAAGTCGACAGAAGGATTCTTCTTCTATATATTTGTATTTCTCCGTCGAGGAGAGCAGCGCAGTATCGTTCCTCCTCCCTCCTTCCTGAAAAAGAAGGGAAGGAACAGATGATGAATTGGACTTTTTAATTACACCCCCCTTGCTCACGCTCGCGTATCCTTTATCGCGACTTGAAGGACTCGACGTGCCGGCGATACACTCACGAATGTAATTGTTATGTTTGATTATACGCGATACGGTGTCTCTCTCTCTCTCTCTCTCTCTCTCTTTTATTTTTATTAATTGCTTCTCTTTCTTCTTCTCGTTGTAAATACCTCGGTGCATTTCAATATTAAAGATAGCGTCGTTATATTCGATCGTGCAGCGCGCAATATTGGTATTGGATTTTTAAATATTCCCTCTACTACCGTTAATCATTATCATAAATGATTCCACTCGTTTTCGATATGCCGAGAGATTTTATAATTATCACGTTCAAACGCATGATGGCTCGAGCATTTTAACAACATACGATATGTAAAAGCTATTCCTTTACCCTTGGTACTGAATGCGCGATGTTATTATCTTCACGTGTATATGAATTAATATTCTATTGTGCGCGCGCGATTGTATTAAATTTCATGGCACAACGCTCGGCACGATAATGATTTTGAATTTTGCAGCGGTACTTACCTCGCGTTAGAGCGGCGGAACGTCGGGTAGACGGGATAGAAAGCGTCTTTAGCGCGTTGCAAAAAGAATGCTCTGCCGCCGACAATAACCCGCGGCACTGCGAAGGGGCGCTTTCGCGAGTTTAGACAGCTTTATCGTGGTATCACGTGTATAAGCGAGTTAATGTCTCGCGCGTAAAGATGTTCCGCTCGTAAACGCTCGAGAACAGCCAGGCGTGCGTCTTCGAGACGTGTATACGTTACTCGGAGCACAGTACAAATCCGATAAGTAGCGGCGTTACGACCGCGGCATCTAAATATCTGAAGAAGCGCGCGTCATTAACATTATTGCTTATACATTGCTAGGAATCGTTTTACGAGAAGCGGCCATGTGGCTGCGCGCCTGAGACGTGGCGTTCTCACGACGATTTTTCCTTAAATTCATTACGCTACGCTTTAAGCACGAAGATAACGGGATATTCGACGGGCGGACGTCGATTTATCGTAAGGGATTGCCGAAGAGTAGTACCTAAACAAGATTTTATACGATAAATATTTGCGCGCTCCTTCCTCTGTCGAGGATACCGAAATAAAATCGCCTCCCTCTCCCCCTCTCCGCCCTCTCGTGGGATCTCCCCACGAGTTACCGAAATAAAATTTGCCGAGCTTCGTTTACTCACCCGCGGAGATCAGTTTAAATCCTATACGCCCACGACTTGAAAACGTCGAACACCTCGCGCCGGGGTGCGAATAAAATGCAAAATTTCATGTGAGAGCGACGGTAAGTTGGACGGTAGTCGCTCGCACGACGAGCCGACGACGACGACGGCGGCGGCGACGACGGAGGGGTTCGGGAAGGTTAAAGTACCAAGGGGTATTTCCGGGTTCCTTGGCCATGAGGGGGTGGGTTTCTCTCCTTCCCTCCCTCTCTTCTCGTCTCAGCGACGAGAAGGAGAAACAGAAGAAGGAGATAAGAAGAAGAAGAAGAAGAAGATAGAACCGTCGGGATCAATACGGCTCAACAGGTTACACCCGAAGCCAACGGCAAGCCACCCCCGCCAACCGCGCCAGCCGTTCCCCCCGACGGTTGAGACGAAAGGCGAAATCTACCGGGGAATGCCGGTGCGCGAATCGCACGGGGTGTGAGGGTTGCCAGGCAACCTTTCGCTCTCTCATCGACCACCGTCATGGACCGCACCCGTCTGAGACCATACCACCGCCGTCGCCACCGCCGCTACCATCACCATCACCGGCACGTTACTACCACGTGGCGCGGCTTTAAGCTGCTTTCACACCGGCACAACGTGCCACGTGTACCCCGCCCGGCGACCTGATCGTTCCCTTTCCTCTTCCCCCTTTCCCTCCTGCGGTTAACGATGTTTTATAGAAGGGTTTAATTACAGTCGACTTCCGTGGTCATCGATACTCTCTGCTTCCAATTGCTTTATGAAAATTTCTCAAACGAGAAATATATTTCCTTATTAAGATCAACCTTGTACGTCGCTCGGGAATTCAGCTAACGATTTTGGGATGTTATACGGAATAAAAGATGGATGTGGTTGAGACGTGAGGAGCTTTCCCTTTCGTTTTTTTCAGTTCCAACGGTTGAAGGGGATAAAGAAATCAATTAAACGACAATTAAGGTCGTTCCTGAAATCGATCCGACCGTTCGCTTGTGCTAAAAATAGCCATCGAGTGGCGATCCATCAGCTATATTCGCGTGAAACGAGCGCATGGTAAACTCGGTTCTCTTGTTGACATTTTCACACTCGCGCAGCGTGCTCGACGCGTCTCTGTCTCGACCGAGGGATACATGAAAGCCCTACCGAGTACCGGGGCGGTGTGCCCCCTCCCCCCTTCCTTTCCCCTCAGACGTTGTTCACGGCGGAAGAGATATGACGCGATCCGTCTGAAAGACTCACGAGGGAAAGTCCTCCGACGTGATCAGAAAGTGGTATATTTTTCACACGGAGTGCGGCCTCTCCCCGCCGAGCTTTTCCAGCACGTACGTGACCAGCTTCTCTCTCGCGGCTAATACGCGGGAAATCGCGGCGCGGGAGTGCCCGCTTTTCGCGCGGCGCGCGTTTCTCTCGCGGTCGTGTGGAATCCATTGTCGTTGTTGAGCATGAATTATCGCTCCTACGTACACGCGGCTCTCATCCTCCTCCGATGCCTGAACGAACGAAAGAACGAGGGAGCGAGAGGAAGGGGGAGGGAGGGAGGGAGGGAGGGAGAGAGAATGGCACGAACGAGGAGCGATGGGCGACATTGTTCTTCGAGTCTGCGGATCGGTTAATATTAATTAAGTCATTGTCTCTACGCGCGAGAAGAAGGCTTCCGCTCTCGTGAGGCGTCGCCGCCGATGATGAAGACGTAACTTTACTATAAATTATTTCACGGAGACATCTCGCGTGCATGTAACGTCCCATGTACATTTTATAATAATTTTTAGAGGGAGAGAGATTAGCAAATACGACAATGATAAAATGACGGAGATTCTTGAAAATGCACTATAATTATTGAAAAGCCAAAATGTTTTTTTCACGATTATTTAGAAATTCTAGATGATCCGTTCTTGTCTTTGCCTCTTTCGCTCTCCTCTCTCTCTCTCTCTCTCTCTCTCTCTCTCTCTCTCTCTCTCGCTCCCCCTTTCTGCTCGTCTCTTTTTTTCTCATTTATACTCTTCTTCGAGCCCGGGGCGCTCCGGCTCGGCATCGGCTCGGTCGCCGGGTATCGAATTCTCGACAAGGGGCGGAGAGAAATGGAAAGCAGCGAGCGCGATTCTCGGAAATAATGTATGCCGCTTCTGTTGAAAATCTCGAGCGGCTGTGCACGCGGCCAGCGTTCTCTCTTTCTTTTTTTTTTCTCCTCTCTTAATCCCGTCTCATCCTTTCTCAAGGCGCAGCGAGTTACGAGTAGCGGCCCGACGCCGCCCGTCCAATTCGGCGCGTAACTGGATTTTCTCGGCGAAAAAAAAGTAGCGTGCAAAAGGGATTGCACTAGGGGGAACGAGGTGGCGATGAAGTATATGTTTTCGCGATTATTTTTTAGTGAAGCGCGCGTCGAAAAGAGAACAAGAAAAAAAGTGAGAACTCGTCTGTACTGTTTCTTTATACTCTTCAACTGACTCTCGCTGTTAAATTGATTTCGATGAGAAATATTATTTTCCATCTGTGACTTAGGGTCAAGCGGTGGTGCAGCTCGCGAAAACCGTGAAGGACGTAACCATCTTCGGCGTGTGCAGCAAATCCAAGCACGAGGCCCTAAAAAATGCCGGGATTATCGACCATCTTCTGGAACGCGGCGCGGACTACAGCAATGAAGTCAGAAAGTATGTAGACGATGTCGCGCGTAATTAACATATATTTTCTGTTTTCTCGTCAAGAATTCGAGATTAATATCAAGAAGCCTAGAGAGAATTCTCTACATTTTTCATATGTGTCTCTACTTTTTTTAGAATCTCACCGGAAGGCGTGGACATCGTCTTAGACTGTCTATGCGGCGAAGAATGTAACAAGGGCTACGCCCTCTTGAAGCCAATGGGCAAGTACATTCTTTATGGATCCAGCAACGTCGTCACCGGAGAAACTAAGAGCTTCTTTTCCGCAGCACGATCAGTACGTAACGCAGCATTATGGATTAATTCAATTTTTAATTTATATCCCAATTGATCGGACAAAAGCATTTTGTATCTCATAAGATATCTTTTTAATGCTGTAGACAAGATTTTGTAAGCTTTGATATTTTTTTCTCAAACATAATATAATATTATATAACATTGTTCTATTATTTGAAGATATTCTATGAAGTATAAATTCTCCCCTTTGCATTATATATTTCTGTCTTTACGCAATGTTTTATTATTTGTTGCTTCAGTGGTGGCAAGTCGATAAAGTTTCGCCCATAAAGCTGTTCGACGAAAACAAGACATTGGCCGGCTTGAATCTACGCCACTTGATGCACCAGCACGGTAGTCACGCGTTTGTTCGACGGGCGGTGAATCAAGTGTACACACTGTGGAGCGAGGGCAAAATCAAGCCAACGGTCGATTCAACATGGGCGCTGGAGGATGTGCCCGAGGCCATGCAAAAAATGCACGATCGCAAGAACATCGGTAAGATCGTGCTGGATCCGAGTCTGGAGCCGAAGCCCAAACCAGCTACGCCGGCTAAGGGCAAAGCGAAAGACAAGAAGGCCGCGAATCAGGAGGAGAAAAAGGCGTCTAGCGTAGAGTCGGAGGAAGGGGAGAAGAAGAAGGAGCCCGAGTTGACAAACGGTACCTCAGAAGACAAATCTGATAGCGGTAAGAAAACCGAGCGTGGCAAATTTATAAGCGCAATCGCAGTAATATTACGTTTATTTCCGTACGAGCCTCTCGAGAACCGAATGTCTTAAAGACCCCCGCTCGCATCTTTCCTGTTTCAGATTCGAAAGAGAAGGAATCTAGCTGAATTAGCGGTAGTAACTAATCCTATAAGAACAAAGAAATGATACCCGCAAACATCAAGAATTCCCAGGAAAAATACTATTGCTGAGAGATCCATCGCTGTTATCCGAGAGAACGATAAATCTGACTTGAGAAATCCACGAATGGTATCGCGTAGAATTTACATGCAGATGATGAGAGAACTGTGTAATTCATATCGTATGATCTAATAATATAATAGGGGGAAAGGTAATCTCTCTCCTTCAAGTTGTTACTTGTGGAATTCAATTTCGCGAGTAACTGATCGCTTGCACTGTAAGCTATACACTGCTTTCCTTTTACGTCGAAACGTATGTCCCTCCCTTTGTCATCTGCATGTACCTATTCTACTTACATTTTTGCGCCGAGATTAAGCGTTCATGGCGAGTTACGAGAGAAGGAGTATCAACCGGCATGAGGACGAGAGAATCAACCAAATAGAAGTAACAATCTTGATGCGGTCCACAGTAGTTTACAGAATATAAGAACGTTATGTTTATTTTTTCACACCGACCAAATGGTTAATTTTGCGAGGAGTTAAGTAAACAACTGTTGGATACCAGATAGTTATTAGGCGACTCTTTTTTTTTATTACCGTTATTGTCATCTCATTTTAGGAAATGGTAACAAACCTTTCCGTACTTATCATGAAGACGACGTAACAGAAACGCTGAGCAGATTAATAATTGTGAGTTGTCCAACAGCTATCTACTTGGCTCTATCTATTTGTATCGAAGTACTATTCGCTGCTATTATGATATATATATATACTAACAATCTCTTACATTAATATAATATTACCTCTATTTGTAATTTAATGGGATAAAATAACATATTGCGCTAGAGAGTTTCCGTGGAGAAGAGCTAAACGCGGGGCTGCATTACTTTCGTATGTAAATTTTATGTATTAGAAGATGTTTTTACGCCACCTTATTATTCATCGTGATGCTTTTGTCACGGTGAAATATCCTTTTAAATTTTAATGATATAGTCATGAAAGTCAAGAGTAATATTTAGCATTACATATATGGGGCATTTCGCTGGAATTTAGACACTCTTTTTTCATACTCTTTCATACTTTGTAGTTCCTTATGTATAATTAATTGTAGACTTGAAGATTTCCCTATTGAAAAAATTGAAAGGTAAAAAAAAAGATTACAAAGTGTCTAAATGTAACTGCCTGAAAGCTCATTGCAGTCGGTATTTTTCTATAATCGGGATTCTATCTCTTTCTTCAAATCACTGATATGTACTGATCTCTCTGCAACGATATATCAACGAGATACTTACAAGACATTTCGATTAAGTTTTTGGAAATCCGACGCAATGCAAATTTAACGATAAATTCGTTGAGGTTTACCATACGCTAAAAAGTTTGGATAATATCGGTCGATATAATATCCAATCTCTGAATATAACTGATATATAACATGAATTAATTAAGCGAAAAAAAATGTAATTAGACTGACTTATTGTGGCTTGAAATTGTAAAAGCCTGATAGAGACATTGCTCGGCACAGAAGTGCTTTCAGAATTATCTTAGCGAATGTTGGCGTACTCTTATTTCTGCGTGAAAGAGAGACTTTCAAATCAGTTTCAACGAGAGGAACACCGAGCGTACGTGCTCGTACAATACGCATGTCTCGTCGTTTTTTATTCAGATTATACGAATTGATAATGTATTTTAAAGACTCCGAGTAACTTTTTATCGTTTAAATGAAATTTTATAAACATTTTAATGACGTTGCATCAACATGTGTACATGAAGAGTAATTTAATGAATTAGCATCGTAGAGTATATCGCTCTTTTTTTTTTGTACGAGAAGGAACGACAGTCTAAAGTACGCAAAGGCCTCATTTTTTTAATTATCGCATACATTTTATTGTCGCGTGAATGCAGTTGTGAACGCCGAACGCGTGACTGCAGTTCGACAGAGTTGTGTTAAAATCCGCATTGCGGATTTTTTTTTTCCCCTCGACTTTCGAGCCTTCGAGTTGTTTTTCGACCGGCCGTGATATATTATGCGATGTATCGTAGGCCGTTCTGCGCGAATAAACAGTGAAAAGGACGCGTTACTAACGGTGATCTGTTGAACGAGAAGGTTTCGTAGTAATATAAACGAAAGATTAAGGATCCTCGTGAGTCTCGAGGAGGTAAAGCGAAAGGAAGGAGGTGGAGGAGGAAGACAAAAAAAAAAGAAAAAGATCTCGAGGGCGTGTCCTCGACGGAACGCGGCTCGGTGGAGGAGCTGGCCGAATGCAGAACAAAGTGTGCATATCTCTCCGGAACGTTGGAACAATTTTGATGTAGCCGATTTCGTTAGGATTTGATACTAGCTCTGTATACCGATATCTATATTATACAAATCACTATGCGAGATGAAAAAAAGAAACGAGTCACGCGGACGAGGGGGAAGGTATGTGTCGGACGATATCCCGCGCGCCTGTCCTCGAGAGGCGATCTCGGGCTGAGGCGCGCGTAAGCGCCAAGAATTATAACTGCCGTATCGAATCTCTCGGTCCAAAGGTTATACATAAATACTAATCCCTTGCTCGTCGAGAAAAAAAAACGTATCAGTCTGAAAAAGAAAAAGACAAAAAAAGTATGGAAAAAAAACTGCGAAAAAAACATGGTAAATGTGGCTGCATATTTTGAGACATCTTTTAAACACGTAAACGATAACACACGATAATCCCACACGAGGCGAAAACTCGAGTACACGAGTACACGCTCACACACGGAAATACGAACGACACCACACATGATACTGTATATTTTATTGTAAGGCTTTAAATGTTTCATCAAATAACTCTATTATATTATAATATATCTATATATTTGTATCGATCGTTTCCTCCTGCCCTGATTACTCTTTTTTTTTTTCTTTCTTTACTTGGGTCCGAACGTCAGGATAAGAGTCCGGGATTTGTGCGAGCTAGATGTTACACGTGGGATCGGATGCGTGGGCTTTGAATTTAAAGCGTAGATCGATTGGCGCGAGGAAATGTCATTTCGGGATAGTCAGTAACATTAATCAAACGGCCAAATCTTTTACGTACAACTGCCATAAAAAAAATTGCGTTTCCAGAGACGTTTTGCGCTTCTCTTGATTGATGGGCGACCACGTGAATATATTTCATTCAATATTTTCCGTAGAGCGAGTAGTATATGGCTAGTGTATTCTCAGTTACGTCTCCTCAGATGAAAGACGAGATATTTCAAATATATACTGTGTGATTAACTGCCTTTGACGAAGACCGAGCTCATTATGTTGATTTATATCGATCATTAGTGTATTTGATCGCCGTAACTCTGGAAACTGCTTAAAGCGAATCTAGAAGCGGATGAAGAATCATGTGCTATCCTCCCTTTGATATCATAGCGCGTCTTGTAACTGCGAAACGTTACTTCGAAAGTGTGTTTCAATTAGGAGCGTAAAATTTACATAAGAACATTATGTTGCGGGAATGTTTTTATCAATCGAATTTCTAGATATTTTATAAAATTATATATTTAATGTGTTACACTTTTGTGATGCACATTCATATTAATATTGTCCGACTGGGTCTTTTATAGTAAATTTTATGAGTCGAATGAATTCGAGGTCTTTTAAACAGCGAGACAATTTAAACTCGTAAATTGTCGTTCTCTGAAACACGTTCGATAGTTTTAAGAATTGAATATCGTGATTGTTTGCGCACGAATCAAGCGATATAATCCCGCTCATTAATGCCGAAGCCAACTGTGTAAACATTATAAATCATCGTCAAGAAGGGAAGTTATTCGCAGTTGCTGCAAAGAAAAGGGGATACGCAGCGGGAATCAGTTTTAAAGCTTCAGCGCTCGATTTTCTGCCGTTGGAAAGGGCAGTTTCACTCTCGTCTCAAGGCTACGACCATTCCGTTTGGCGCGATAGAAAGCTAGAAAGAGGAAAGGAAGTTGAGAATGTTGTACGTCTTATTAGTTATGCGAAACCGTGTCGTTGGGAGAGCAGGACCTACAATTTCGCGAACGTGATACATTATGATTGTGTAAAATTGTAAAATTTGCCGAGGGGTCCGGGCGAAAGCGACGCGCTTTTTCCGGCTGTGAGACCCTCGGGTCGCGACCAGCCTCGCCGAGGCCGCCTCACGAAGGAAGGAAAAGGATACCTTCGCCCGCTCCCCGTCAAGCTTGATATATAGATTGTATTTTTGGCTTATTACTGTAAGACTGACTATGTTGCTATATTAAAGATTGCTTCAAAAACAGGCCGATGGAGTTTCCATTCATTCTCCCTTCTTCCTACATCCTAATAATTCTGTAATTTTTTAAATATGAATTAACTTTATCTCATAACGAATTGAATGATCGCGGAATACCTCGTATTCTTTCATTCACGATTTTCAATTCTTTATAAATCAACCTTTTACAAATGAAGGTATAAGTACAATATGTATGCGGGATGAGGATCGGTATCGAATTTAGGATCTGCCGATTACGAATCGACCACTTTCACACAAGACACACGCCCTATCTCGCTTAAATAAAACTAATTAACTGATTAAAAAATGGAAAAATACATGAACATGATACATGAATACATACATATTTTTTATTGTTCATTCGTATAAAGGTTATAAAACTTAAAAATATATATATTCAACGTGGTGTGTTAAATGTAAATATTGTTTCATTAATATCTGAAAAAGCATTTATTGCGCGATATATCGTGCAAAAATTTTCCTCGCAATTTCAACGAATCATTTTTCTTTATATATAATATATTTGTATTTTTTTATATCGCGAAGCAGACTTCTTATGGACGGTATTTTGAGGTGTTACGCGGACACGGATGCGCTTTAAGGGGTCGTTTGTTAGAGTCAGTGTATTACATCGCATTACATGTAATAAATAATTTCTGCAAATGGATAAAAATTTATCGCGACAGATGTTTTAAATTCAAGGAAGACCCTTATAGCGCATAGGTGTGACGCGTAACTAATTACACTAACTAAAACCTAAACTTTAATATATATATATATTTATCTTGTAATATACATATTTATTATGCGCTATGTTATTAAAATAGATCTTTGATGTTTGTCTCAAAACAGAATACATATTTATACACGTACTTGTATAACTCTCGAGGCACTAATTATCAAGGGACGGCATAAAAATCACTTCATCCACGCAAGTATGTATATATAAACAGGACGGTATCATTGTCATTTACCCGATTTTGTGTGTGAATCGAGTTAAAATGCATCTGTCACCCCTATCCTACTATTTACACTATTTTGCCGATCACGTCTTGAATATCTCTTTGATTGGACTGTTTTTTTTTTCTTATATTCAAGGACTGAAGCAGAAAATTAAAATAGAAACTAATCTCTAAAACGGGGAATATTAACGAGTACTACGAAGGCACAATCTGCGAATGACAATTTCACGAAATAAAACAATTTTACGAAATATTAAGAAAGAATGACCTCTAAACTGCGAAAACTATGAACAGCAAAAAAATACAGAAAAAAGCAATAGATACGATAGCTTATTAAAAATTTGAAACTAACATATTCTTCTCGGTATACTCTTTTAATCACTATGAACACTTTTGTCGTAAATCTTTTGGTAAAAATAGAGTAGCTAACGAAAATCGCCGGCCGCAACTATTACTTGATTTGTACTTCGGATTAGGGGTCGGTAAAATAACTGATACAACTTATTTAAAATGAAAAATATAAAATAGATTTCAAAAACATATTTAAAATATTTAATAAAAAATTGATCAGAAGCTATTTAAAATAATAAATACTAAATAACTCTTATGCTTTTTTTAATTAAAAGTATATATTTTAAATAATGTTATTTTAAATACGACCGACCCCTGCTTCAAATGCTTTGCCTCCAAAAGTACGATGCCCTAACCGTGTAAAAAAAAAAAAAAACAAATTTCATGTATTCTAAAATTTAAAAACAGGACGGATAATATTTATAGATAATAATCATAACACAATAAAATAAAAATATAGACATAATATAAACTGCACGAAGTTATATAAAATATGTTAATACTTTCAGAAATAATTACTTTTGATCGTGCAATCTCATGATATCAGTTTTTTTACGTTTCGTATAACTCAGAAGTATAAATAATACTAGACATTCTATAGCTATATTATATAGGCCTTCGAGTAAGCAATAAAATATTAATTGTTCCTATTTCATTCTTGACAAAATGTAATCGTACAAAAATTATAAAGTCGTTTAAAAATACGAAAATATATAAAAATAAGTATACGAAAAAATCGTGAGATTTTTATAAAAATACGAAACATCCTGTGCCACACATTGCGTAGCAAAAAAGATCTTTAACGTGAGTATCGCATTTATTTTTAGAATCAAAGTTGTTTATGTAATTCTAGGTACGTCATATATTTAAAGATCCTAAAATCCTGGAATTTGTAATAAACATGTCGTTCTGATTCTCAATCAAAAAGGCACGAAAACAACTGATTGGATAGTACTATTTATATGTGTACATTAGTATCTTCAGATAGAAGAATACAGCCCAGAGAATTCATTGCTATTACCAACTGACGATTGTTTCTAAGGAGCTTTCTAAGGAGCTAAAGAAAATTGTCGCTGCCATGTAAGCAGCTTTGAACAAATTAAAAGAGGAAGAAAGATTATTTAAATCGGCTCTTCAGACACTTATTGTTAGTAATGAGATTCGTAAAAACATGTACTACGTTCTGATGATCGTATCGTTCCATATTTGTGCTCCGTTAGGCAAAGACAAATCATGGCAATAGAAACGGATGAGGATCGAATGTTTTTTACCTTTCGATTAACGCTAGCCGTCTCTGAAGTGCTGCGTTCGGAAGTACCTTGTTAATGTGACGATCAGCGATACGATGAGTAGAAAACCTGTCGGTGTACTTACAAGCATAGCAGCATTGTAAATGTGGCAGTAGGGGCACTGAGAACTGCCGCAAACTTCGCATATATTTAATGTGTATGTAGGCAGTGCGTCGAATATAGATTCGTTGAAACGTTCTGAAACAGAAATGATGAGTAAAAATCAATATGCATATATTGTAAAGTAAAATTTAGTGATATATATTTATATATAAATACCTGGCGAATAGTAATCGTAAACGCGAATGGAAAGATATCGCGACATATTTGCGACCGGATACCAACGTTCCACCGTGAAGTTCACGCACGTCTCTTCGCTGTCCAGATAATCAAAGTAGAAGAGCACTTTCTTTTCTTGGAAACGCGCTCTCTGGAGATTCCTCACCTGCCTCGACAGGGTGTATCTGTCCAGAGTTTGTTGCTGAATTATGTAGCCGGTTGGTATGCCTACATCCAACACGGCCATACCGGAGCGCGCAGATTCGTTGAGATTCGTCCATCTGTACGAAAGTGCAATACGTTTTTTTACAGGCATAAAGATAATAGCTATAAATATTATGATTATGCAGCCTCTCACCTTTGACAACTAAGGTACGAGATATGAGACTGATTTCTGCCATGAAAATTCGCTCTGGTGACTAGATCGAAAGCTTTAATCGGCGGCTCTGTTTGGAATCTCTTTATATCCACATTATACTGCACATGCATCTGCAGAATAGCATAGCCCGCACCCTTCGCCTGCACTTTTACAGTTCCCCACGCTTCCGGAATCTGAAAACAAAAATGATATAATAATGCAATTGAATTGAGTTATTTTGATACGTCTTGCGAAATATAGCTGTCTCAAAATATTACGTACCTCAATAGTTTGAAGTTTCGCTAGATTTTTGTCGTTCACGGTCAACATCTTGGTCTGCCCCGGCAAAGAGGTAGCCTCTATTGATACCGTGAGCGCACTGACGTCCCTGATTCTCGATCTGACGGTATACTCCATCAGCGCCTTCATCGCCCAAACGGTATCCTGAGTGGAGGCCCATCCACCGTCCGTTAATCTCTGCGCGTTCAACCACTTCACTATCGGCTCAATCATGATCTCCTGCCGGGCGACGTGAACGAGTAGCGCGTATGCAGTTGTCTCGATGTTCTCCGAGTCGTATTTGTAGGGTAAGCGCGGCAGCAGGAAGGGCTTCTGATTCTCCATCTTGTACGGAGGAAGCGGCACTTGTTCTCTGCCCCAGTACGTCAATCCGCCCTCTCTTCGTGCGTGTCTCGCCAGGATGTTGAAGGCTTGCTCGGCAGTCGAGGCTTTCGCCACCAAGAGTGCATAGGCTACTATCGCTATTTCGTAAGGCTTACCGCGTTCTTCTAACAGCTTCAGATTTCTCTCTAACCATTTGATAGCGTTGGCCGCGCTCAGAGCCACTTGAGACCCTAGACCGCCCGTGAGATCCTTGACGCTCTCCAGTGTGATGAGTACATGAGCGGTGAGACTGATGTTTCGATGGGCGATTATATCATTTCTGTAATTCAAGGAGCTGTTCATCTTTCGGTCCGGCAGCCAGGTCACCTCGTAGAACGCGCCTTCCGGTGTCTGATGTTTCAATACCCAAGAAACCGCCTGGGCGATCACCTCGGGATCAATGTACAAGTAGTTTTCCCACTCGTAGAAGCTGGCCTCCTGGAAAATTCGCGCGCAGAACGCCGTCAGCCAGACACTCGGCATCGACTGGTTCCAATCGGTGCGGAAAAAGCTGAAAGACCCGTCGGGATTCATGAACGACAACTGCCTCTGATAGCCGATGTTCATGTAGTAGAAGCTCTCCTTCTCCTGCGTGCGATTGCGCTGATTGATTAAGCGCATGTACAGGGTGGTGTACATATTGGCGGCGAAGCTGAACATGGTCTGCTCGGCGCAGTCCATCGGCAGACTCATAAGGCTCGTTGCGTTCACCGGCATCGTCGGGAAGATAGGCCCGACCACGTCGCCGACCAGGCTGATGGTCGCTTTGTTAGACCCGAATACGTAGTAACGATTCTCGTCATACGACGATATGATGGGCGTCTCGGTGATGTTCACGTGCATGTACTGGAACACGTAGGCGCGATTGCTGAGATCCAGCAGAATCGATTGATGTCGATACTGCGGCAGCCCATCCGCCTCGACATGCAGGTTGCGAGTCACCGAGTCCCTGCCGATCAGCGTGGTCGCGTAGACATGAACTTTAATGTCGCCGAGTCTCACCGGCACGATGGGCAGATAAACGATACTGGCGTCCTGAGCGGGGATCCAGATGAAGAATTGATGCTCGCCGAAAGATGTGCGCGGCTTGTACGATTGCACAATGCCGTCGTCCTCAACGTGAACGAACTTGTAGTCTTTGGATCCCGCCAAGACTACTGTTGCCTCGATATTGTAACGCATGTAGTTGAAGACCGACACGCGAATACCAATTTGCTCGCCTTGTCTGCTGCGAGTCGGCATCTCCACGTTTATATAAAACGGCAGAACCCCGGTGTATTCTAGCGCCTTCGGCAACATACCGAACCCGATGCTGGGCGACATGCTGAACACGGTGACCATCCAGTGTACCGGTCTCCGCGGTACGTCCAGGTTGAAGATCTGTCGGCCATGCGGGCCGATATTGATGTCCTTCCACAGCCAAACATTCTCGTACTGCCTTTGAATCCGATTGAACCGCCACTTGCGAAACTGTGCTAAGTCAGTCGCGTTCCGCTCGACGCATCGCGCCTCGTCCGACCCGTCATCGCAATCGAATATACCGTCGCATCTTTTCTCCAGCCTGTAGCATCGACCAGTGAGGCACTCGCCGTATCCTTGCGTCCGGTTGCAGAAATCGGGCCGTCGGTGTAACACAGTGTCCGTGAAGACGACTAGACCGATGTAATCGAACGTGCGATTAACGTCGATACCGAAGGTGGAGGACGGATAATATACCAACTCATCCGGATCGCCATCGTGATACTGCCAGGTGTGCGTGTGCGTGCCGTTGGTCTCCTCGTCGAAGTGCGCCATCTTCGTGATCACGTTCGCATACGTCAGCTCATTGCCTGCCTGCATAGTGTAGAACGAGCGGTCGATGCCCGACAAGGCGACGTAGGCGCCCGGTTCGCCGTAGATGGCCACCTCGACGCGCTCGCCCGTCCTTGCCTTCTTGTTGTTAATGAACACGGTAAAGTTGTTGCGCGAGATGCCGTTCACCGGGAAGGTCAGTGAATCTGCGACCACTTCGCCATAGCGGCCCACGTAATACACCACCGCCGTTGCGACGGGTGCCATCTCCGGGCTCAGAGGAATCGCGAAAGTCTTTATATTGTGCTGCATATTGTCCTCGCCAGACAGAAGTACGATGCCTTTGGCCATGATAAGATAATTAAAGGCATCGATGTAGAAGTTAGTCTGCACATGGAACACCATGTACTCGCCGACTTTGGGCTTCTCGGTGGATGTCGATATCTTGATGTGCCTCATATTCGGAGACTCATGGGCGAGCAGCAACAGTTCGGTCTGCGCTCTGTAACCTTCGCCGTCAGTGATATGCGCGGAGACTCTCATGGAGGTGACGTCGTTCAGAATCTGATTGGCGCGGTCGGCGTCTTGCTCCAGCCCGAGCAGCTTCCTGAGATCCATCTTCACGTTCCACACGTCCGCGTGTTCCGGCGACGCTCTCGGATATATGGTGTCAATGCTGCGACGTCCGCCAGTTCGCATCTCGACGTCCGCGCGGACCTCCATCAGAGCGTCCCTGAGCTGCGTGGGTCGTAGCGGCGAGTTGTCGTGGAAGGACGCGACCAGGTTCAAGGTAAACGGCATCGCTGGCTTGAACACCTGCGGACTACCGCCAAAGAAACGGACCTTCGTGGTGGAATTGAAGATCCTTGCCGTAGAGTAGCCGACGATCACCTCGTCTAGGAATCTCTCGCCTACTGTCGCGACCACGGTAACCTCCAATCCTTCAGTCGATGGAATAAAGCTGAGTAATTCCTGCATAGGATATCGGAAGTGGTACGTTCCGTTGAAGAATCGCAATACTGGTATTCTGTCCTCGTAGAAATTAAGTATCCTAAACCACGATGGATAATACTCGTTGAAATTGAAGTACCTCTCGACTGGTTCGATCGCCAATGAGGGATTGCGCGTTCTTTCTAGCGGCTTGAAACTGGCTTTCAGAGTCAGATTACCCCGCACCGGCGCGCCCGAGGTGTAATTCGCCTGAATGATACCGTAAATGTAGGGATCGTTGTCAAAGAAGAACGCCGGCATCGTGACGTTAACCTCAAAACGCGTTTGGTAGTACTCTTCCACGAGGAATGTCTTCTCCTCCACTTGATTCTGCGCTATTACTTGCACGATCCATTCGCCGAAAACCGGTTGATCGGAAAGCTGATACGACAGCGACACTGTGCCCAGGTTGCTCTGCCTGCTGAGCCACCTTCTCATAATTCTTCTGTTCGGATCTAACATATATACGTCGACGGGATTGTTGTAGGCCTTCAACTCCGTGTCGATCGGGATTGTTCTGAAACGCACTGTCTCGCCTTGCATGTACATGGGCTTGTCCAGCTGTATGAAAATAGTCATAGAGCGCTGCGAGAATATCAGTTTGGTCTCATTCAGGAAGGCCTGGCCACCGGTCAGACTGTTGTACATCCCTTCCACGCGTAACTTGTAGTCACCACCCACGGAAGTGGGTGGCATGCGCATCATCAAAGTCTCAGGTATGCCCTCCTTTACTTCTTGATGGTCCGCCGCTATTTCCACGCCATTTCGCTGAATGGATGAACGCACCATCATAGGCAGTGGGCTATGAAGAATGTTCACGGCGAGTCTGTACACTTGACCTGGTCTGACCATGCGAGATGCAACTATGAAGTATGTGCTGCATAAAAAATATTCGTTATAAGTGAATCATTCGGTGGTTCCCTATTGAATATTCTTTCTCAATGTCAGACTCGACATGGCGATACTCACGTTTCTTTAATCATGACATTCTCATTTTGACCTAAAGGATTCCAAAATCCAAAGCCTGCATTCTGATCCCGATCTTCGGGGTAACGATTCCATGGAACCCTGGGAGTGGTCTGATCCCGATCGTCATAACGATTCCATGGAGGCCTAGGAGTGGATTCTATCGGTGGTTCTGGTGGCCAGGGTTGCTCTGGTGGCCAGGGTTGGTCCGGGGTGAACTGGCCATTTCCAGAGGCCAGGAATAACAGGAGGATCCAGATCAACATCTTTTCTGAAATATATGACTCATTCATTTGCGTTCCAGAACGTTGAGAAAATACTTTCGAGGGATAATCTCTTGGACGTCGTGATGTGTCGAAATTCAAAACGATACAAGAATGAACTCGTGAACAACGCGAGAGTAATGATGTAGCATCAATTATAGTTAATTGTTCCCTATTCTCTAGCCGCATTAAAGATCCGTGACGTAAATAAATACTGACACCTATAACCGTCAGCGTCTTTAATTGGCCAGCAGCAAGCACACGTTGGGCGCGGTCAATTTTTTGCGTAAATCAATCGAGTACCTAGCATCGCTCTCCGGCCGTCGATGCGTTAAAAACTAACTGCGGCGAGAAGCGGAGTCGGTTTCGCGGGGTTAGGCAGCGCGCGGCGGTCAACGCCCAAACGCGCATTCCTCGAGTCGCGTGTCATCGGCGCTCACCTCGGAATCGCGATTTCCTGGTAGAGTCGAATCCACCGTGTGTCGTGTCAGCGCGTGCTGCGCGCGACTAGCATCACCGCGTTCGCGCGTCTACGGGGACGAGGATACTCAGAGCAGGGTGTCGGGAACGTCGGTTACGCGCATCGCGTGGAGACCCGCGAGCGAGAGGAGTGGTCCGCTTTCCGTTTACGAACTCGTATTTAATCGCGCACTAATTCGCTGGTGACGCGCGCGGGGAATCGGGATCGGAAAACCGTCGCGCCCTCCAGCGGCTCCAGCGCCCCTCGACCGATCCGCGATCGGAAGGTTGCTCGCACTGTATAGCGCATAAATTTTGGGGGATTTCGAGCAGCACGAACACACTTTACTGGGCTGCGTTCCAAAATTTAACTGTGTTTCCCCTAGATGTGACGTCCTCCACCGTCCACCGACGAGCTACTGTTTATCTCGTCGGTGCATCCTCCGATTATTTCTATTCTTTCTAGCTGCACTACGTTCTATCTTTCTTGTACTAAAAACAAGTTAGACATATGGATATACTGGAGAAAAAAGGAAAACAGAGATAAAGTGTATAGAGAATTTAGCTACAAAGAACAAACATTGATGATCGAGGTGTTGCATCAGTTGCATGTCTGTTCTGATACACACCACGATGTGTACAGGGTGACGCAATCTACATTGATCATACCGTGACTCGCCGCCGATTCGCCGGCGTGGATACTTGTTATTTGAGCACTCTATACGTTTTTAAATAACATCGTGGAATTTCAACATGAGTATCTCGAACTACGTTTCATGCGTTCTGCAGCTCTGTTTCCCGTAGATATCTATTTCTCGTCATGGATGAGCCACCGGAAAAATTACCGTGCAATACGCTAACGTGAGTCTGGCAGCTCATTATAACGTTTTTTTTTTTTACAATAATGTTCGTCGCAAGAGTAATTAATCGGAGTTATCAGCAGTTTAACTGGCACTGCCCAGGTGTAAAGGGATCATACTATCCTACATTTTAATTTTAATGAAAGAGCTTTTCAAAGATAGAAATATAATTTATTTTATCCTGGATAAATCTTGAATTAATATAAAATTGCATCGTTCGTTTTATTGAAAGTTGTAATTAATAATGCATGCGTTTAATGACATAATTAATTGGTCAAGTAAAAGTCGATACGTTCTTTACGAACAGGGCCAAAGAATTGTTGTGCAACAAGGGTATCAGCAATTGCATACTGCAAGAATTGGAGAGGTCCTTGATAACTTTACCTAAAAGTGGGAAGAAGCATTTCGAACCCGATAACTCTTGGCTCCAAAATGTTCAGATTGAGAAGGGACTCAAAAATCGTAGAGACTTGTTAAAAATCGAGAGAGTCGAACGTATCTCAGAGTTAGCCAGTGCCGAGTGGCTACCATCCCAAAAGAGAGCCATTGTTACTAAAAGATCTGGTCAGGATTGGAGCAATTTTGGTCTGGAAAAAAACGGTTCCTTATACCTGCTACCGGAGGAAGCATTATTTCTCATAGAAACGGTATGTATTCTACAATCTGTATAATCATATTTTTTTAACAGTGTCCATTATTACTTCAAGTTTATTTAACCTATTCTCTTGTATGCATTATAGAATTGTCTCGAACTCATTTGGAATGGATTGTCATGCTCAGTCCAGCAAGCATACGAAATCTTGATCGATAACTCGACGTGTACCCTGGAAGAATATAGGGTTTACAGTCAATTGACACGGTATGGCTACCGTATACAGCGCTACTTCTACGAAGAGTCAGACAAATGCAACAGATCAGATGAGTCTACTTCCACTAAACGGAAAATTATTGTTGAGCCTGAGACCGGACTGAGAATGTCTGACAACCAACCACAGAACAAGCGGACCACAAGGACATCAAAACTAACTTTAGCGGAGAATGTGCCGGAGACCTCGGATAAATCCTCGGCCAGTCTCAATATAAAAGACCACGAGAAGACTGCTGTGCAAGAATCTGTAAAACAAACGGTATCTAATCTAGTAGATCAGATGCTGTGTAACATAGAAAGTTGCGAAAATGACTGTGAAAATAAACCAGACACTTCGCAAGTGGCGGAAAACAATACGACAGAAAACGCTAGAAACGGCGAAGAGAAAGCTCGAAATTCTAAGCCAGAAATAATTTCCAACGAGACTTTGTTAGGCAATATCAAAATTCTCAGAGACACATCGTGCAAAGTATCAAAGTGGCCGGGTTCTCGCATTCAGCGTAATGTGAAGCAGATGCCTAAGAGGAACGATAATAAGGTATCACCTCCGGAAATTTCTATAATCGATACCGGTGTCACGGATGAAAATCCCAGGCATACAGAGAAGCGGAAGGTATTGACGCAAATTGATGAGTTACACGCGAAGAAGTCAAAGCACGAGGTAAGCACACCCTATAAAATACGTGTAGTGCAAGGCATTTGTCAGAAATTCCTTTTAAATCCTTCTAATTCTTTCTCTCTTCAATTTCAGGTGATTGAGTTGTCTGATGATGAGATTCAGGAATTGCCACGTTGTATGACAAGAATGGAAATGTTGAATCTGCTGCCGAATATCGCCGTCCAATCGGAAATTAACGAGAAAATTTCCAGGCGATATATACCACACAGTATAAGGCCCCAGAAGAGCATATATCGATACGATCGGACGATGCTCTTAAATATGCAGGAAAACGACAAACGAGCGCGACAGAATTACAAGGATGATAGAACTAACGCGAGACAAAACGCGTCCCACTCTAGGAGTCCCCTTGCCATTAGTAACAGGAGTGCTCTGTTGCAAACTCCACGCTCACCGTTGCGCAGTTCATCGCGATCGTTTTACGCTGTGGACCAGATACACGGAACGAACTTCAGCTTGCCTTACGCATACAGATTTCCATTCAACTATCTCCCGGACGTTTATATGCAGAATAGAGTCACGCAGAATGTGTTTCACAATTTATTTGTCGCCTTCGGGAACCATGGGAACACCGTTCAGCAAAGAAGTCTCACCATACAGACGAACAATTTCATGATGCCGATGATAGACGGATACCGTACGAGAAATTTCTTCACGGAGAATCACCTCCGACACGGTTTCTATCAGAATGTTTCGTGGCAGCAAAGATTTTGTCAGCGCAGAACGATGGAGAACGCGTCGGTGCACGGCAGTGCGCATCCTGCTGCGAGACGACGACACGATGACGCCAATAGTCTAGTCGGCCACGAGATCATTAATCGACCTACCTTTACGACACGTCTAGGAGCTAGCTCGTGGACGGAATTGAAGAGAAGATGGTCCGAAGAGAAAACCATCACGATCGACGACGAGGTCGACGTTTGTAAAAATATGAACGAAAGTGAGGAAGATGAAGTGCAAGTCGTGAGGCTTCTCAATCCTTTGGTCGGTCCGAGAAACGCGTCCTCGTTGACAGAAATCTTCAGTAAGCTCGCTATAATAAAATCGGCGCCGGAAAGAATCGTTCGAAGGAAAAAGAGCAAACACAAGATATCGTACAACGTGTATTCCTGTACACGTCATTATAGAAAGGCGAATCCCGGTCAACCATTGTACAGCCTGGTAGTGATAAGGTATTTACTTATTAATTGAAACATGTATTACATATTTTTGTGCAACATTCAGTAATTTTCAACTTTAAATTACAGAAAAGAAGACTCGATCCTACAACCTGTTGAGTTGAATCGCCTGCAGCAAGACGCGAAAGGTTCTCAGATAATATTAGCACATGTGTCAATGTCGATATCGTATATTCAGCCAGGTATTATAACGATGCCAAACATAATTTAAACTTTTCATTCAAACACATTGCTTAAAATAATTTTAAAGTCAGTAACGTTTATATATATGTATGTCAAAGATTATCCTGTAAGAACCATGAATTTTTTGTTATCTTATTAATAAACTTTTATATACTTATAAAAGATGTGGTATGTGTGTGTGGTATTTTTTCAATTTTAATAAAAAAGAATTGACATAAAACAAACACTAGGGTATGTAAGAGCTTGGAGATTTGTACACTTCCGAATGATAAAAACAACATTATTGTATGTAAATGTATAAAGTATCATACTATACGGTTTATACATTACATTTATTTCTTAAATGATAGAATGTAAGTATGTGACATATATCGAACAGCTGATGTACATACATGCATATATACGAAAAGTGTTTACACTCTCCACAGACATGTGCGGTCATCTCAGCTGTTTTGAGACACTGTCTCGATTTTTCCAATAATCATAAACAGTCACGAAGTCGCGATAATTGTTGGTTACTCAATTACTTAATTAAATATAAAGCATAAGTTATTTAATTAAATATTGAAAGAAGATAGAACTGCGATTAATTTTATATACATATAAATACATATATATTATATCACACCCGACACACACCACACACACACACACCACACACACATACACACACCACACACATACATGCCATATACACCATCTACGCTGTGTTTACGACGTGCATGCCGTGCGTTGCACTTTCGTCACTTTCGCGGTGATCTTGTATCGTGTTATGATCGTGTGATATTTGACTAGTGGCTAGTTTGAATTGAAAAAAAGGATCAATGGAGGAGCCAAAACGAAAGAGAATTCGGAAGGAAAAACCTAGCGTGTCCAAGAACGATGACGACACGCAGAGTAATGAAAATACATTGGACACGAGTACCTATCTAACCTATGACATCTTGAGAATTCTCTTTAAATATTTAGATGCCAGAGATCTGGCGAGCTCTGCGATGGTTTGTAGGTACGTATCGATGATCCATGCTCGATTTAGTTTTAAACACTTATTTAATACAAGCAGAATGTCGTGATTATGGTTTTCTGTCATCATGTGTATGGATACGAACAAGATTTGATTTAGTACAAATAATCTCTTGAGGCATTTTATATCATATGTTTTTAAAAGTTTTATTCATGATAAAACTATTAGTGGTAATATTTAACATCGTTGTATCGCGAATAAAGAGTATATGACATTGTAAGCTAAACTCAGCATAAATTTTAGTATTAAATTATTATTTTCAGATCCTGGCAAGAAGCTGCAAATAATGAAAAATTAACAAGAGGTCCTTGTTGCTTCATACAGCATTACAAAACACGACACGACTTTTTATCTCATGTCAAGAATATCAGAATTAAACCATCGGCAGGTTTCTTTTTTATTCCTGAAAACACACCGCGCAATGTAGAAGGTATGTATTTTATGTTTTTTTTTATGTTCTCTACGCTAGAAATAAGTAATCAAATGAATAAAAAGATCCTGTCAACAGTAGCAAGTATATAAATGTTTTATTCTAATTTATATCAAACTGTTTTTTGAATATTTCAATACTAGTTCTTTTATTCATTTTTCTACCTAATAATGAATCAGAATAATATAAGATTAAAATCATTCTTCTTTTTTTTTTTTTTTTCAAGAACGTATTGAAGCTTTGCTGCCTAAATATTGTGAAGCTGTAATGTTGTACAGTAGAGGTGTTATTATGGACAAAGAAATGGAATATCATCCATTTCCGAATATGGCATGTGCGTTTTTGCCAGAAATCCCAAACGTGAGAGTGAAATCGTTCAACGTGACAACACATGCACTTATAGACACAACGGTCGAATATCAGGAGATAATTAGCATAATTAACAAAACATCTACCTCGAATCACGAAACGTCAACGTGTCTTATGTTATTTTGTAATTATATCGGTCACATCACAGCAAAGCGTTGGGCCTCAGTCATACAAAAAAGGTATAATGTACATTTAATCCAAGTAATAATACATATCTGAATTTATGATTCAGATATGTACAACTGTTGTACTACAATTACTAATGTTCGATAATAAATGTTTATTTCTTTTTTGCATATATTCAGCACAAAAAATAAAGTAGTTTCCGTATGGGGTGGCGTGTTGCAAGACATTTACGCACAGCGTGCACATACCGGCAAAGGACAAAAGAAACCCAGACCGACTGAGAGAACGCATAAACCATGTTGTTTCGCCGTTCTCATTACTGGCGCTATGCAGACGTGGTCCATGATTTTGGAGAGGAAATATAACACAAAGGAGCGAGTCGAAGCGAGATTGAAATTATTTAAGGATCAAGTGAAATTAAAGAAACATTCCATAGGATTTATGTTCGTGTGCAAAGCTCGTGGAACCGAAATGTACGATGAATCTAACGTAGAATCAACAATATTTAAAAGAATATTCCCCAAAGTACCCTTAGTAGGTTGCTTTGGTTATGGCGAGTTTGGAAAAACTACCGACCTCGATGAGGTGAACGAAGAAAGTGAGTAATCTTTTTCTCTCTCTTTTCCTCTTAGTGAAAATATAATCCTCTCGATAAATTGGTTTAATTTTCGTTTTAGCAAATAGTAAAGAGGGAAAAAAACGTAAGAAGTCTTGGTATAACGAATTCTCTACTGTGTTCTTAATACTTACGTATGGTTAACGTTTTAAAAAGATACATATGTGATTGCTACGTATTGAACATATTTTATTACTCGTGCATTACTAGAGTTAGGCTGTCGTGTTCACCGATTTTTTTCTGTTGTTTCATAAAACGTAAAAGCAATGATCGATCGACGTTCACAGAATAAAAACAGTATATCTAACGTCATAGCAATAAATCCGAGTACAGAGATTTGTACCTTATTCTTAGAATGCAATATCTACGGATGCGCGTTTTGTACGAGTCCTAAAATGATGTTATTGATGAGCAAAAAAAAAACAAGTTATAACTATAATATATTATATGTTCGTACTATATACGTCTTTCATTTTTTTATTCTTTCACGCTCATTACCTTTCTGAAGCGCTTTTAAATAATGCGAATTGTATAAATATATCGTATAAATGTGATCATTGTTTGAAACGAGCGGTATCAGAAAACGAATGCAAATAATCCACGATAACTGAGTTGCTTTACAACGCTTGTGAAGTTATCGTTCGTTTGCTGGTTTCAATGCTGATTTCAACGTCGCGCGCGATATGCAAGCCACGAGGTCGCACACTACTCCGATCCAGTGTAAAACTGCACCCTTGCTGAATGTAATTATAATCCCCCGCTTGACAGTACTTCCGCGCTCGCGATACAACACGCGAGATAAAACGGGAGAAACTAGGCCAAACGAAAGGATACCAACGTGTTATCGTGATACCGCCAGGATTTAAAAAGGAGTCTTCACCCTGCGGCACCAGTGGTTCAATTGCTGCGACCGTGGTTCGTAGCTTTAATGCGAGGTCCGCACGACTCACGTGATTGAATTTCCCTTCCTCATAACGATATTAAATATCAGTAAGATGTTATCGAGTCTAGTTTGGTCGAAACAAATTTTCATTTTTGTTACACTGCAGTACTCTGTTTACTCGCAACAATGGGAAAGCGGTTTGCGCCAAAGATACGACGGCTACGGGGAGGATTGGATATTCATGCCCGACGGCAATGGGCAGCCCCAGGTAGCAGTGTTGAAGATCCAAGACGAAAGGGCAGGCGTGTTGGACAACTCGGAAATAGCCTACATAATCTACACTCGGTATCCGATTGCTAAGTTTCAATGTGCATATTATTTAGCAACACGCTGTCGCGCTGCAAATATTCCTCCGTTACACTCAATCTAGCTCCCCGTAATATTATTATTTTTTTTAAAGATCTCATCCGAAAGAGGGCATACGGATGACTCTGAACGACACCACGAATCTCGCCGGCTCCGACTTCAAGCCCTCGCGAAAAACGAAGTTCATAACGCACGGATGGAAGTCGAGCGCCATGAGTACCGGGTTTCTGAACATGAAAGACGGTGCGGCCGCTTGTCTTTTTTCAATTTATTTTGTGAATTAGATTTACTGTGGCGAGGCGCGAATAATTTGCACTCTTTCTCGTGCAGCCTTTCTCACTCACGGCGACTACAACGTCATCCTCGTGGATTGGGAACCCTTGGCCGCGAGCACATTTTACTTGGGACCGATGCATAACACCGCGAGAGTCGGGACTGACGCCGCCAACTTTATAGAGTTCTTAGTGAAAGAGACTGGACTGAAAATGGAAGACGTTCACTTTATCGGTACATACATTGCCTTGTATAACACAATGCTATTATTTGTAATCGCAATTTCATTACCGTTGGTAATTTATGAAGGTCATTCCCTTGGCGCACACGTGGCTGGAAATGCGGGCGGTGCAACGAGTTCCGGGAAATTGGGCAGAGTGACGGGTCTGGATCCAGCGCTGCCGGGATTCCACATGCTCGCCGACGAGAAAACTCGTTTGGATCCCACGGATGCGGCATTCGTCGACGTCATACACTCCTGCGGCGGTGTGTTGGGCTTTCTTCAACCGCTGGGAAAAGCGGACTTTTATCCGAACGCCGGCACGGCGATTCAACCCGGATGTTGCTGCCTCCCCGAGATAATGGGTAAAGATATTAGTCCCGTCACTAGTGCAAGTTCGTGTAAACAGAACAGAAACAACGTATTCCTTCCACTTATTTTAGAGGCTTGCAGCCACGGACGGTCGTATGTATACTTCACGGAAAGTATAAACTCGAAAACGGGACTGCCGGCTAGGAAATGCAACAGCTGGGATTCATACACGAGCGGCAAATGCGCGAATTCGCAAGTAGTGCTGATGGGCGAGCACGTTGATCGGACTGCCGAGGGTCTATTCTTTCTTCGAACGCGATCGGACCCGCCTTACGCGTACATACCGGAAGTAACCAGCAACAGTGTCTAAATGAAAATAATGTACAAGTGTAATTGTATATTCAAGATATATATATACGTATCTTAAGACAATCTCTATTCGATCCCATTTGCCGATGACAGCAAGAAAGAACAGCAAATATAAAATATCTGGCTTTAATAAATATTATAGTAATTATACATTATATTATACACATGACTGAGGTATAATAAACGTAGCGAAGAACCAACCGTTTCGGGATATCATAAACTTCTACCTTGCCTCCAAGAAGCTCGTAAAAACTTTACGCGTCAATGTCGCGTCACTCGGGCACCTGTGTTATTCCGCGATAGTTAAAAAATGTACAGCACCAACGAACACGGGAATGACTTAACATTTAAATCGGCTTGTAAAGCAAAGTTGTGACATATTTCTTGCGATAACGATGCGTGGCCGACAGGACCATCACGCTGTCTTTAATGCTCAGAGCATAAAGATGGTTCAGCATAACGTGATTTGGTTCAGGTAGAAGAGTAGGCTCACACTGAAAAGAAAAAAAAAATAGTACGTGATGATAAAAAAGTCTCGTTACGTGAAAGCAACTTACGGATAACGGTGTGTCCTTGTTAAGGATAACTTGTAGCAGATGCGGCGGCAAGATAGGCGGGCCGGTTATCTTCTCCCAAGGTTTGTGCGGCGGTATTTCTTGCCCGTACTCCGTTTGAGTACTACTACTGACACCCTCGCTATCCTTTGCAAGAGCTTGAAACACCTCAAAGTCAGACTTCCTTACAGAAACTAAATTGTTCTTGGAGCCCATGCCGTTGTCTACGATTTTCTACAACATCAAACCAACAACATCTGAATTTAATGTGCGACATACAATGCATGGAGTTACACAACGTTATGTACACAAGCGATATAAATGTATACAGAGCAGTTAAATTCAGAAATGTAACGCGCTCACCAGTCCAGGATCGTGCCTCCATTCTCCGTCAACGAAAAATTTATACTGATGCTCCCCCTCTGGCAGATCAATTATCGTGACAAAGTCCCCGTGGCTCTTTACCATCGGCAATGTTTTCCATCCGGTGAACGTCCCGCTGATGTATACCTGCTTTCCACCGCCTTCCCACTTGAAAACAGTCGGTAGCACCTTGCTGTCCGCAACTTTGGTACCCTCGGACACTGTGTTGGACCTCGGCCGCTGCGATCCGAAGTCTTCCCCGTCCTGCTGGCCGCTCTATATTTACATCCACAGAAAATTACAATGTAATATTTTCGCATGTATACGTAAATGTCATTTTGATATCTGTCGATATTACTTTGGCGAAGTACGACTCCTCGTCCTCGTGGGAGGACTGAAACACGATCTTCTGGCTGGGCCTCTTGTCGAAGACGAACGCCTGGCCTTCCTTTCCTGGAGAAGGTGGAGGATGATCCTTGCTATGTCGGTGCTCTCTGCTCACCGTGGTGCCGTGATGATGGCCGACGGGCTGATTGCTTCCCGCATTACCCATTATTGCATCTGAGCTCCTGACACACGCAAAAGAGAAGATCCGATTTCAATTTCTGCTCCGTCCAAACAATTTTAAGGCGAGTAAACTAAAATATTACGCAATAAAATCATAAATATGATGAATATTTTCGAAGGTTAACCCGAGATTATTTTATAACAACGTTATATCCTTTTTAAAAAGTAAAAACAAGGAGCGAATAAAAAAGCTTGAAAATATTAATATCCAGCTATTATCGAACGCGATCGATGTGCGAAAAACTCGTCACGTCCAACAAGTGTAACAACATTATTATTCACTTGTTTGCAGTAATCTCACCTGGTGCTCCGATATACGTCAACGACGAATCGAGGATGTAAACATTCGCTGGCGACGTTAAAGCTAGGTCGGCCCGACCTCAAAGAAGATTCGGATGCGATTCTATTTTTACAAATGTTCTCGCTCCGTTCCGTTCGCGAAACGAGGAGATTACAACCTTTCTTGATCGTGATTGTATACAACGCATCTATATCATGTCACAAGACTTTTTATCGCTTAAAAATAGTTACCTAATATCGACATGTAGATAAGATACTGCAGAAATTCGCATTACCGAAAGCGTTAGATAATATATAAATTGACAATAACACGGATAGTCGAGTCGATAAGATTGGTGATTACCCACCTGGACTTTTAACCATGCGAGCTCTCAACGATGTCGATAATGTAGGGCGATTATGGCGGGTAGAAAATCGAATTCGCGATCGATGCGTCGAAACGAGACGAAATTTGGCGAGTTTGTCGCTCGCTGAGGGCAAATCGAGGCTCGAAATTCGTTCGCGCCCACGCAACACAAAATATATCCCGCAGTAACAGCGAAATAACCGATTAACTGAGGGGCTCAAATCGTTGATTGCGGTATTGACTGTATTGAGATCTCGCGCGCATGCGCAGTCGCCATGACAGTCTCGCGCCGCGAACGAGATCGTGCGGTCGCGTCGCGTCGCGCTCCTCGCGATTTTCCCGGTTTTCGCGCTGTCGAACGCGATCCCGCGTCCATGGGCGTGCCGAAGGTGCCGAGCGGACCGCCGCGTGACCGCTGTCGTATCGGTTCAGCGAACGCGGCCGCGTCTCGCCGCGAAACGGCGTCGAACTGAGATACGCCGGTCGGCGTACCACGATACGAATCTCACGCGACCGCAATCGTGGATGCGCACTGCAGTGTTGCGCCGCGTCGCGACAATTTTCGCAATTCGGCGAGAGTCGCTCCTACGCGCTTTTCTCTCTCCTCTCGTGAATTGTGCGAATTCGAACGAATATCTTATAACGCTGCGTAAGCGCCGAGAGCGAAGTGCCGGCCGGTCGTCGTGATCCGCGTACGCGATCGCGTACCGCGCGACGCGTCGTACCGCTGAACGAGCGTCGCGCGTCGGGAGTGTCGAATCAAGTATCGGGCGTCGTGTTCTTTAATTCGCGTACGCGTTCATAGACAACGTCTACCGCGTCGGTTTTTGTAACCGCAGTGATTCGAGTGCTCATCTTCGTGGCTTCGGAAGGATGCAGCGGTGGAAGATGTACCACGACCCGGTAGGCGTGCGAGGGGGCAGCGGGGGCACGGCAGAGCAACTGCACTTCAGCGGCTGGTGAGTTTATTTTGCTTATTTACGAGCTTATTTTGCGCATAATTAATTATATAATTAATTTTTTAATCACATTCGCGTGTTACATATGACGCGGTCACGTCCAGTTTTTTTTTCGGGGCAGTTTTTTTTAACGGACGTTGCGCGTTGATTAAATTAGATAACGTGAAATTTCACATTGCGTTGGTACCGTCTGCATTTCGCGAGCGGTTTCGCCGTTGCGGCGCCAGAGCGCAGCACCAGTTAGTATTTCCACGTGCGCCCGTCAAAAAATTAATCTGCGACAGGAACCGACGAACAAAAATTGCGCTCCGACGAGCTCGCTTCTCTCGTTTCGGAAAATTATTGCAAGCTGCGCCGTCTTGCCTTCGCGACGAGTATTAATTGAACCGAATTGAACTGCGCCCTTTCTCAGGGTTTCCCTAAAGTTATCGAAACCCGCCCTTTTCGGCGCGGGAAATGTTGTTTATAGTAAAACTACCTGTGAATATACCGGCCGTTCTCTATCATACATTTTTACTATCTTATCACTTCGCTTCTCGCCGGTCTCTTCCTCGTCGCTCTATTTCATCTCTTCCCCTTGCCCCTTCCCCCCTCCTTGCTCTCGCTCGTCAATTTTTTTCGCCCGTTTCCTGCGCGAATTTATTATTTATAAAGGCGAAAGCGAACCCCGGGCGTGTTTCGTCCTTCGTAGCCGGCGGCGACGCGCGAGAGCGCTTAAATATCTCGCGTGGCTCGTGTTACTCGCGGCCGCAAGGTCGGTCCGGAGGGGTGGACCGCGGGTAAAAACGTGCGTCCCCTCCCCCCTCCTCCTCCTTCCCCGTGTATTAAATATCCTGCAATAACAGTAATTACGGTTACGGTGCTTTGCGAAATTGCGCGGCTACCTCACCGCGGCCTGCGGCCCGCGAGACGCGAACGCGATCTTCTTATGGGCGGCGGATATCACGTGGGACAGTGTACAGCCGATTCCGGAGCGAATCGAGCGCGCCGATCCCCGAACCTCGTAGTAACCGCAACCTGCTCATTTATCCTTTCTCCCCCCGTCGTCGACGGTAGTATAATCGCGTTAAGGGAATAGACGCGACGCGCGAAAGTATCCCCCGCGACCCGTATGTAATTACATTTAAATGCACGGTGTTACGTTTTAAATGAGGAGATTGGAGTTGTAGAGCTGCTTTTACATGGAGAACGGACATAACGAATCGCAATTAGACCGCGTGATTATAAGTCGCGATTATAAATTACGAATTGCGTCTTCGCGGATAACAGAGATGTCGTATTATCGCGTCGATACTTTTTTTTTCGGATTCGATTGTTTGAGATGTAAAAAGAGGCTTCATTGACAAAGCGATAGGCGCTTTTTTTTCCTGGTGACGATAAATCGCTGACGTTTCACTTATCGAGATAGCATGAATTTCATTTACCGTGCGGCATGCGGTGTATATTGATTATTAAATGTATTCCTTATTTAATGATGCTGATTAGATTAGTGTAAAAGGCTAGGATATTATATCTAAAGTGGGAACATCTGTTCCCGTGGTTTCTGGCAATTGCGCGTTCGTTACATTCCGTATACGCTTCGCGCGATTAATTCTTATCTCGATTCTCGATGGACGTATTTATTTAGAGAGCACGAATTATATATAGGCTTGCGTTGAAAACGCAATGGTAATTCTAAATATTATGCACCATTAATTTTGTCAGGAGACATTTCTCCCGAGAATAATTCGCAAAGTTTAAATTAAAAAAAGAACTATTTAACGATATGTTTGCGTGTGTGTGTCGTATCGATCATATTAAATTCTGTATGACTTTATTCCGCGTTAGGCCTCGGTAGCGGACATTATTGCTTCGCTTTTTGCGCGTATCTTTTTTTCTCGCGTCAAAAGCATAGCTAATAACTTTATACGTATTATTCATTTATTGATTGCATTAAAAAGTTATTATCGTTGCGAGAGCTGCAAGACATTCTTCGAAATTAAATTGGCTTTTATTCACTTTCGGACGTATTTTAATTGCGCATTATAAAATCGATCGACTTCGCTGTGTATCGACTGACGGAAGGACGGTAAATTCGTGACGGGGGCTCCGAAAGTCGTCTAGGCCAGATGTCGAGCGTTTCAAGATAAAAAATACCAAAGCGTAGAGAGAAAAAGAGAAAGAGAAAGAGAGAGAGAGAAAAAGGAGGACCAAGACGGGCGGGGGAAAAGGATCGGCGGAGAGAGGCGGTGTGTGCATGCGCTTAATCGATAATCACCGGCAAGTGGTTCCGTCCGAAAAGGGTGCGGTGGATACATCTGCGAGGTATCATCAGCGCCGCGTACAAAAGGCCGATCCATCATCGGGCCGACAATCCAAATTCAAAATTGGCCGGCCACAGTTCCCAACGACCGCGCGTGCAATTACAATGGAGATTAAGAGCAATCCAAACAACTTCCAACGTCCGTGGCGGTATATACGAAGATACGTCGCCGAAAACGAGAAGATCTGGTCTTTGTCCCCCGCGTAACGGTCCTCGTTCGGCGGGTTATTTTACTCGCCTCTTACTTATTTTTATTTGTTTATTTCGCGACGTCGGGGAGAG